AAAAATTAAAATTTCACTTCATATGCTAAATATGATTTTTTTAGTAAAATAAGTTCAGATTTAACATTAATTCAAAATCTTTTTTTTTTAGATTTCCTCCCTTTCTATTGACAAGCTCCCATATTTGAAAAAAGTACTTAAATTATTTTTTTTTGAAAATTTAATCAATATAATATCGCAATATTCAAATAACGTGGGTAATTCGTATCATCTTTGAATATTCCGTCGAATATTCGAATTTCTTTTTGAAAATTGAACCGAAAACCCTGCCCAGGGAATCAAAATTATTGATTTAGGAACTGTGAACATGAAAATACTTAACGACTCCTAATTGAAAAAGAAGTCCGTGAATACGAAAAAGAAAATTTGATAAAAAGAGAATTTTGCAAGATAAATTGAAAAAAGTACGTCCTCAAAAATTAATTCAAATAAATTTATTTACGGATAAACACGTTTGTCAAAGACAACACCGAGCTTATACATCTCCCTAATTCCTTGACGGATATTGCTTTTCTAATAGTTATTAAATTCTTTTGCAGAATTTTGTTTCATAAATGTGAACATTGCTCTGCAGACAGGTGGCTTGCTTTGGGTTGAGTCTGGGAAAATTTATAATATATTTACGGCCCGTGTAGATGTTGAGCACATACTTGCAGTACTCATGATAAGCTATTTTTTTCCTAGCCACCCGTGGCTTTTCTTCTTAAAAATAATAGCTTTTTAATATTATCATTATTGAAGTTTAATTAGAATAATTTCAATCATATTACAGCAAAGCCAATATAAATTTAAATTTCAATAAAAAAGATGAATGACAATATTTCCATCGTCCAATATTTTTTTAACAAAAATGAAATTATAGTTATACACATCAATTTTCGTGATTATTGATAAAAACTTTTGGAAATTTAACGCTTTATAATATAATTTATTAATAGATTACCCCAAATCTAACTTGATTTTGTTTTAAATCTCGTTTTAATATTAAAACGAAACTAAAAATAAATCGCAATTTATAACAAATTTTTATTTCCAATAGGTTTAAATAATACTTGAATATCAAAAAAAAAAAAATTTTCTTCATTTTTAAATAAGCTAATTTTGACAACTTTTAAATTTTTTTTTCATTTTTAAATCTAATTTTGACAATTTAATTTTATTAAGAGCGGAAATTAATCTTTATTGAATATTTCAGGCTAGTCCTTATTAATTTGTTCATTTACCGCATTAGCTTAATTTTAATTCCAGTTCATAACAAGTTTATCGATGAATAATAAGTAAACCAAAAGGCTATTGTTTCATTGTTTCCACATATATTACCTTCCTGTATAGTCACGTAAACTTACTAATAAACTTATTTAAAAAATTCTCACATAATAGCTTTTTAGTTCTATATAAACGGACATTAATTTACTAAGACTTTTTGACCCGAGAAAACACCTTTTGAGCTTGGAGACGTGTTTATATACAGTCTATATCATTTATTTTGAATTTTGAATAAGGAAAAAAATGATTGAGTCAATTGCTGAAATTGCTGAATATGCCCAACTTGCTCAACAATGCTACAATATACCCAACGAAGACACACACAAATTGCCAAAAAATTGGGAGGTTATCTTTGCTCCTGAAAACCAAGGATCCTGGGACACTTTTTATGCTTTATATGTTAATCCCGTTAAAATGGAGGTTGTATTGGGTATTCGTGGTACAGATAAATTATTTAATATTTTGGCAGATACTGGCCTTTTTGTAGCAGCATTGACGAATAAACCTGTAATAGTTCCTGATACACCTCAAGTAGAATATTTAGCAAAATATATTCATCACTATAATTTGAATTCAAGTGCTGAGGAATTGCATCAATTAGGTCAAAGTATAAGGAAATTTGACCAAGAAGTTGGCTCATCCATGAAAAATTGGGTTTTGGCATTGCTTTATATTGCGGCGATTAGTACGGGGTTGTATGCCAGTTCCGCATTGGCAGATGCTTCCATAGTATTAAAAATCATCGCAAGCGGTACAATAATTGGTTTGGGTACTTCTGCTTTAATGAAATTAAAAGAGGAGACACATCGTAAATTAATCGAAAGATTAAGCAGTGAAAAGTGTCGTGATTCGATGGAAAATTTAGGAAAAACGCTTAAAACATTCAAAAAACAAAATTTCCCTTGGCGGGGTTATCGCCGAACTTTGCGCAGTGAAGATCGGTGTAGAGTGCATCACCTTCGAAAGTCCCGGGGCATTGGAAATATTGGATCAACTGGCACAATATCGAAATAAACCACGTGATATAATCAACTATTTGTGCGCTCCTAATATCATTAATACGCTAAATCATCATCCTGGTATAACTTATAGAATAAAATTGCCACATACGGATGGCTCCCTGTCTTTATTACACGGTGCGAATTGTGTTTTACAGACTGCTTCTATAGCCCTTAGCTTTGGCAGTTTAGGAATATTTAGCATAGGAAAAGGCTTAATTATAAAAGGCTCTGCAGAAATTGCAAAAGTTGCTGGTTTAAGTGCTGTAGGTACGGTAGTTGCTGGAGGCATTGCAGGGATCTGGTGTAATATCAATTGGGTAAAAAGACAACACAATATAGATAATATCGTAACCTATTTACAAAGTAATGATCCTCAGCTAGTTAAGATTGACTCTTGGCCTCATGTTTATTGGAAGGATTTCGCTAACCAGTGTTGGGAATTTGCCAGGGATTTTGTACCTCTGCAAAAAGATAAGCCTGGAATCAGAAATTTTATAGATGAAGAGGGTATGAGGGAAGCACAAATAAAACGCATACCAGGATATCGAGAAATATTGGCCTAAGGAACAAATCAATATCATGATCATTAGTTCCACATTAAAGTTATCGCGAAATAAATCAAATTCAGGTCATCAGATATTCAGATATTGTAATTCATATCGTTAGTTTCAATCTTTAATAAATTGTCGTGCTTATTTACATTTTTTTTTTTCGTACAAATTTATACTGAAGGCAACTAAAGTTGCTTTTTCCTTGTTGTAACTTATTAATTGCTAAAAATTTGAATATTTAATCTATTGAAAGCATGATTTGTGTAATCCTAAGAAAAGTTTGCAAAAAAAAAAAAAATTAAATTTTTGAAAGTTTGAAAGTATACCGATACCTTGTCAAATTCAAATGTAACTTTTCATGAATTTCTCTGTAAATCTTTATTAAAGAGAGTTATAATATCAATTGCAGATTTCTTGTGAATTGATCTCCAAGCATATTGAAAGAAAAGATTTTTATAAGGATTCGCAGAAAAAGAAAAGGTTCATCGATTTCTAAGAAAACTTATTGTTGGAGTTCCTAGAATTGCTTTACTTTTGATAATGAAAAAAATGCAAAGGCTTTGATATTTTTACATATCTCTCCAGATACAAAAAAATTATTGCTCTTAATATGCATCTCGTAAGGCAAGTTACGATATTATATAACCGGAATAATCCAATAAGTAACCTAAATTTCAATCTTTGTGTATATCACTTTGATACTGTACTAAATATATTTTTTAACTTTGCACTTATTCTTCAATTAAAGCGTATTGGATTATTATTATCAAGCTCAAAAAGCAGAAGAATAAAATGAAAAATATGCATAAAGTATTCGTTAAATCTTTTTGTCAGATATGAGTCCAGTTCCGGTACTATTATTATAAAGATTTTAATGATTTACGTAAATGAAAGTTCAAAATGATCGATTGATAAAAAAAATAATAATAAGCTCGTTTCCATATAGGTCAAGATTTTCATTTACATGACATGTATGCAGTGTCCCTTCACAGAGTAATTCAAAATACATAAATGATTACTGGATTTATTAAATTTTAAGGAGTGCTTTAATATTGTTGTTAAAGTGAAACTTCATTGACTTACCTATTTTTATTACCAAATTGGATTTTGATTGTAATTTTTTTATTTGTGGATGTTGTTTTATATGATCATTCAAGAATTTATCATGTTGAATTCCGAAATTCATTATACGTGCGAACCAATTAATCCATAAACTTTTTAAAGAACTTTCATGGTCAATTTCATTACTTATGAATTAATTGACGATTTCAGTTAAAAAACGTACTTATTTACAAAAGTTACTAAAAATATAAAGTATATAAAGTATATTTTATTGAATTTACAGAATTTTAAGATTATATTACATTTTGTTTTAATTAATTTAATTAATTTATCAAGCTGGTAAAGTGTCTTGACCAAAACCCTCCATCCTAATAACCCCGAAATACAACGTTCATGCATGTCTTTAAATAACAAATATAATACCATTCTTTATCTTTATATACTTGAGCAATTCCATCCTTATTAGTATAAGTTATGTGAGGACCGAATTTATAAAATGCATCCTTAAACCATACTGGAGTGAAATAAGGCTTGGTCCCAAAATTTTCTTTATTTACATTTTGATCAGTAAAATCATCGGTACGAATCATTTCCCAAAATTCTCCTAGTTCTGAGAGCGATTCGAAATCAAATTTCGTCAAGGTGGGTAATGAAGGATCAGGATTTTCGACACGTGGTGAAATTGATCCATTGTCGTTTTCCGGTGATGGTGTCGGATGTGTTATAACTGAATACGTGGTGAATATTATAAGAACAAAGATAATGGTGAGAATTGATGGTTTATGATTATTATTATTTTTCATTTTCATGATAAGTTATAATTTTTCCTTTAAAAAAAAAAAATATTTAATTTTTTTTATTTTATGAATATTTTTTTTAAGAAAGTCTCTCGATCTCATTAAATACCATTTCTATTAGGAATACAAGTTGTTAACACTAACTAAGAATGGATATACAATCGTACAAAATCTTAGTGTAAAACAAGTATAAATTGAGAGACAAATTGCATAAATGATTGAACATTACTATATTCGTTTCGTCTTCTGTAGATCTTTTAACGCCACCATAAGAAATATGTAGTGAAATGAGAGACACTTTATAATTATATAATTGGAACTGTGGAGAATCAAAATTCGAATCTAATGATGTAATAATATAGGGGTCCTCTCATAATATGTTGTCTATAAATTAAAATACGATGGACAATTTTCATTCAGTTAAATTTCAAATTGAATGAACAAACAATCATTTTTTTTTTTAAATAATCATTTTACCCCCTAATCAGATATCCAGAATTTCCAATCTGTGCATCATATAAAGTTTTAGGATAATTCCTTTGTTTGTATGCGATTCTTTGTTACAACTTCAAATCAAATAATCGAAATCATACTAATTATAAAGTCTGAATTATTATCTCTATTTGGTTCTATTTGACGCGTTGTACAATAGCTGTATTACTGATAACAACAGGGTTTATTTACTATGATCGGGTAAATTCTTTTTTATTATATCTATTTATTACCAATTCCTGGACCATTAAAAGTTACACTTTAACCATTGTTAACTTTTAAAAGCTTTAATATATAAAATTACTTTAAAAGGTAAGACTATTATTACATTCGAATTAAAATGAAAAAAATTTATATGGGCGGATTTCCAAAAATTAAATTGCGGACGTCACAATGTTCCTTAAACATTTTGAAATTTAATTCATTGATTTAATTTATTCATTTTATTTTATTTTATTTTATTAAAAAAAACGTGATTGCGATACGGTCACGGATCATCTTGGTGTTACATCAAAAGTTTTTAAAAACCATACATACAGTATCTTCACGATAAAAAATTCACAATCATGACCTATTTCCCCTATAGAGTCGATCAATCATTTTCATTTTCTTTTCAGTATAGAGAAATTTGTTCATATGTAAATATAGATATTACAAATTCGATTCTTTTATATGGCCCTTCTGGAACAGGTTAATTAATTTATCTTATAGTTTGATTTTGAATTCTTTTCGTGAATTATTATAATTGATCAAATTTTTGTAGGGAAATCGTTTGCTGTTCAAAGTTTAAGTTCAAAATATAAAACAAAGGTAAATTAAGCGTTATATAAGTATGAATGCTATTATGGACCGATATTTCTATTGAACGTATATGATATTGGTAATATTTAACGTTAAAACAAAAGAACGAAGAATTTCTTCTCTAAAAAACTTTTCACGTCTGCATTTATGACATTAGCTGTCGCATTAGTCCTAATGTCTGAACTTTAACACATTGATTTGGATGGGCGAAGACCGATATATTGAATCTTATGTAATTAATTATGTATTTATTTTTAGTTATTTACTCTTACAATTGGTGATTTGGCTGCTGAATTTCCTGCTGAACCAGAAAAAGGATTAAGGCATTATTTTAATCTTGCTTATAAAAATCAACCAAGCGTATGTATGTGTACGATGTACGCATAGATTTGAAAATTCTTTTGTCAATTTAAACGAATTGATTTTACTAAATTTACTATTATTATTATTATTATTATTATTTTTACAAGTTTTATTAGAAAATATAGAATTAATATTTCCATTAGATAGTCAACCTTTGCTTTCGTTTTATTTTCGTGAATTATTTAATACGTGGATTAACAATGAACATCGTATTCTTATTGTAAGTTTCTTTTATCATATATGCTTCATATTTATTGTCATCATATCAACTTAAAATATCGACTTTAGGTTGGAACTTCGACGAACCATTCACGAATCAATCCTATTATCCGAACAATATTTCAAGTAAATCATTTTTTAAAAATACAAAATTTCATTCTTGATAGACATATGCCTAAATTTCAATTATTTATATTAGGATGAAATTGAATTTAGTATTCCAAAACCGATTCAAAGATTTGAAATTTTAAAATTTTGTGCCATGGATTTAAATCTTGAGAAAGATGTAAATTTAAAAGAAATTAATGATAGATGTCACGGATATATAGCAGCTGATGTTGCAGCGTTATGTAGAATGGCTTTAGAACAGTGTGATATCAGAAGCATTCAACAAACAGGTTCTTTAATTCAGAACATTACACCGTGATTTAAAATGTTAATTCTTATGAGATTTTTTTTTTTCTTAAATATATATATAGCCGAACCCGGAAATTTGTTGATTTCGAATGAAGATTTTCAAAAAGGTTTCCAAAATATTAGAATAAGCAGTTTACAAGAGAAGGCCAGTGTAAAAAAAGTTGATTCTGTTAAATGGAGTGATATTGGTGGTTTAGATTATGTTAAAGTAATCATCATATTTAAATATTTCTTTAATGATTTTATATTAATTGATTCATCAATTAATTGTATTTAATATGTAACTTTCATGTAGAGAACGCTGGAGGAATCTGTTATATGGATATATAAACATTTCGATGCATTTCAACGTCTCGGAATTAAAGCGTCAAAAGGCGTCCTTTTGTAAGCTATACAAGTATCAAGTTATAATCACGCGTGTTATTATCAAAACCTAATGATTTTTTAAATAGATATGGACCACCAGGAACCGGAAAGACTTTATTAGCAAAGGCAGTTGCGACGGAATCATCAGCTCATTTCATGCCAATATCGATACCAGAATTAATCAAGAGTGAGGTAATATAATAAATTTTTTTTTTTGAACTTTAAAACTGGAAAGGTTACGCTAACCTTTTTATGAAATTAGGTAGGTGAATCTGAAAAGGCCATCGCAAATATTTTTCGAATCGCGATCCAGTGTAGTCCTTGTATCATTTTTTTGGATGAATTGGAGGCTATATTCGGTAATAGGGATTCAAGTGGTTTTTTAGGCAAAAAGGTAACAAACAAATACGTATTTTTAAAAAAATAATTATGTAGAATATTGGATAAAAACTTTACTTTCTTTATCTTTAGTTGGTTTCACAACTTTTACTAGAATTAGATGGATTGAATGCAGTCGATCAAGGAGTTGTGATCCTTGCTGCAACTAATAATCCAGAAGTTATCGATACTTCTCTTTTAAGGCCAGGTAAGTTGATTGGATATAAATTAAATTTATCCTATTTGGCAATTCCTAACTTTATCTTTTTTTTCAGGTCGCCTTGATAGACATGTTTATATTAAACCTCCAACTTCAGAAGAAAGAATATCCATCCTTAAAGTATTAGGGAATAGAATGAATTTTGCTCAAGATATGAATCTTGAAGAAATTGCTCTAAAAACTGAACATTATACTGGAGCTGATTTAAAATCGTTAATACAGAAGGCCGCTTTTTTAGCATTTAAACGGTATCGTCATAATAAATCAATAACTGAGGTATGTTTAACGTCGTTCAATCCAAGCACGCATTATTTGAATAATCTCATAATTTACTCATAACTCTTGTTTTAAATGTGATAGAAATATATTTGTTACGATGATGTGTTAGAAGCAATCAAGAAATTTAAATGTTCAGTTTCTATTGATCAACTTGAACAATATCAAAGATTTTCTAAATCCTTGAAATAATAATTTATGTTATAACAACAACAACCAGCAGCTTATTGTGATAAAAGTATGAATCAAATAATGCAAGTATTCTACATCAATAATATTTATTTATAACGATAATTAACATTCGGAGAGATTTAATTTAATTCTAGTCATTTAAAATGACAAACATTGTAACTCAAACATTGAGAAAATTGTCATAATTATCCAATAAAAATTTCACTCTCTTTCACTTTTCATTTAATATTATAGTTCAAGTAAAAAAAAAATTATAAATCAGCTCAATTCAAAATCTTAAGTTTTAATCTTGTATTAAAAGAAACGCGCTATCTCATCATGCATTTATTACGTCAGAAAATACGATTCTATTGACCGAGTTTCATATACATGTAAATGAATTTATTGAATATGAATAAGAAAATTTGTGAAATAAATTTATTAGTCCGGAGCGTAAGCGAAGGACTATATTTCTAGACACATTGACTCAAGATGTGAAGAGATGTCCCGTTGTCCTCCCGCTCAAACATTGAGTCGATACGTGATTGGTTACTTGCTTCGACTTAGCAACGGTCCCCGTTTCCTAGTATTACTTTATAGACAAAAGAGCTAGTATCACGATGCTGTATTAACCATGCGTGTCTAGTAGAATACTAAAATAATGTTTTATCACGACGTCTTATTTGTCATGATAAGGGAACGTTCAATGTATAGAAGGTAGACATGATCGAGAAATTTTCCGCTCCATCAAGAAGTCAAAGGTATAATGTCTTATCAAAAGGAAAAAGCGATCCTTGTGTTTTGAACCGTCGACCATATACGATGCTTGTTAGTCTGCCGGTTTAATTATGTGATCCATCATAACTAATCTCTTGACAAATTTTCAGGATAATTCAGGCCAAAAGTTTGTTATGAAGAGAACTAGCAGACTGTTAACAAATGAAAGCAGAAACCAAAATCATTGATGTCAAGGAGGCATGATTAAAGTCGGTAAACACATTGCCATTTTTATGTTTGCGTTATCCCATAAGATTTCCAAAATCTTAGAAATAGGAAAGCAGTAACACATATCAATCAAAATGGTAGTGATAAAATATACTTCATATGAATTTCTCTGAAACTGAACGACATCCTTTTCCCGAGAAGGACGACATATAATCCCCTAGGTTGCGCGACAGCAGAAAAGTATGTAAAATGCAATACTGAGGAACGACACTAAGATTATATCTCTCTTAGCTTGCCGATTTATAGATAAAACATAAATTGATGTCTAGTAGTAAATTTATAGGCTCTTTGATAAAATATGTCAATTCTGGCGGATCTTTGGAATTGACACTTCGGACCTTTGGGAAAAAAGACGGATTCCTTGGCAAGATGAAATATATATGTCAAAATGATCACTTTTGATATCAGGGATCAATTAATTGGCATTTCCGTCATCCATGTAGCAAGCCTCCTGATAAATTGACAGAATGCCGTATCAAAGCCCTAAGAAGGAATTTTTACATAAAAATGCTTCGTTTTCGCTCTTAGTATATGATAGAATTTGAAAATTTTTGATGAAATTTCTGAATCATTTTCTTTAAATGTCTTCCAAACTTATCCATCATATATGTCAGCCAATATATTATCAAAACATTTTCTATCGGCCTAATGACATAGATAATTTTCGAAACCTTGTCGACGAAATATAACATCGAGTTGTTATCGAATGCTGGCAAATGGATAAATTAATTTTGGTTGAACAAAATTTGAATTATCCATTTTGTGAGACAATGGTGTATTATAAGGCCGTAACCTGCAAATTGATAAATTCAGAAATTCGACGTGATTGCATGTCATAATCAATAAAGTATCATTCTGTCGAAAGTTTATCACTTCATCTTTGTTGTAAAGTTTATAACATTTTGTACAAGATACGAAACTATGAAATCGGTCTTTGAGACCAAGCGATTTTTTTGTTAAATAAAGAGTACTTGGAAATCTGTTAAACTTATCACCACTGGTTTCAGTTAGAACTAATTTCATAAATTTTATTAGAGAATCTATTGCAATCTCAGGTACGTTGAATCTAATTCAAAAGTTCATTATTCATAATAAAATCCATGCAAATTGATCATCAATTGTTACTTCCTCTTCTTCATTTTGATATGGTTCATATTTTGGCGGCGAATAATCTTTAAAAATTTCAGAAATAAGTAAATCATCCAATTCACTTTCGTCTTCACTCATAGGAGATTCGATATGTCATCTTTCGTTATGTTCATAATTATCGCTTAAAGAAGACTCAGTATGTTGTTCATCTTCAGAGTCACTCAAATCGTCAGTAACTTGTGGATGACTTATATACCTTCTTGTACGCCTTCGAGGTAAATTTGGTAATTTAGGATGACAATCAGTCATTTCAATTCTTGAAGTTTGTGATTTATCATCAATCATTTCACTTCTCGAAGTCTATAATTCGATTTCGGCAGGTGATCCAGTATCAAGTATCAATTTGTCAAAATTCGGAAATAATTGTTCAATGGCAGAATCGCTACAAATTGTTGATGAATCACTTGTCGATTTATGAAAAAGTTTGGTCTGATTTAGAACTAATTTTCTATTACACTAGTTACAATAATAAGAAACCTTGTTATCTTTTTTTATTCGAGATAGTTGTTTTGTCGGCTTATTACCAATGATATTCAAAATAGACCTATTTCTTGTTATCTTGAAAATTTAAAATTGCTGTTTTTTTGTCAATGTCAATGAACGATTTATATATATAAAAATGAAACAATTAATATAGATGCTATGGTGGAATAATAATTAAATTAGTATTCGCATAATAATCGACACCTGCATTATAATCGAAACTTAAAACAATAACCGCATAATAATCAAAATTTAAAGCATTATATTTTAAAACTTAAAATGATGATCACATTACAATTGTATCATCGCATTATAATCAAAATTTGAATCAAATACCGCATGATAATCAAAATTTTTAAGAATTATCACATTATAATCAAAATTTAAAATTATTATCGCACATTACATTGAAACTTAAAAGAATAATTGCATTAAATCGAAACTTAAAAGAATATCGCATTATAATCAAAATTTGAATCAATTACCGTATGGTATTATCGCACATTACATTGAACTTCACAAATAACATTTCAAATCTCTTTTGACTAAAAAATTTTTACACCTTCTTACAAACAATATTTCATTTATCTTTCGCTAAAAATAATATTTCGTCTCTCTTTTACATACATCGTTTTCCCACTTTTTTCACAAATAATATTTCGTCTTTCTCATTTTCTCACTTTTATCAAATAATATTTCGCCGCAAATATGACTAGAAATATGGGTCAAAAAAAGGCTGCAGCAGTACGTCGTCAACCACCACGCCACCAGAAAGTGACGCATCAATAAGAAACTCAGGGAGTAACAGAAATTCAAAGTAGCCAAGAAACGGCAGATACTTCACGTCGGCAGGTTCCAACAACAACTTCAATACCTTTAAGTAATCAAGAAATACGTCGGCAGGTTCCAACAACACCTTCAATGCCTCTTAGTAGCAAAGAAACACGTCAGCAGATTACGAAAACAACCCCTCTTAGTTGCCAAGAAACACCATATCGACAAGTTTCAGCACTAAATCTAAGTAGTCAAGAAACATCAAATCGGCAGGTTCTGGCAACTAAAAGTCAATTAAAAATACTGAAATCTTCACGTTGGCAGGATCTGGCAAATGAAGGACCATTCAAATTATTAGTGCTATCAAATATTTCCAAAGAAATTTGACCTCAATCTCCAACTCGACCAGGTGGAGATTATGATGTTTCGCTTAATTACAGGATTGAAGACAAATATCAACATGGCAAAACTTCAACTGCTGGTATGGTTAGAGATACCATTCTGAAAGCTGATAACTGGGATCTGCAGGTATCATCAGCTTCCTATCAGTGAATAACCAAAAGGTCTTCAACACATCAGCAAATAGGTGATGAAAGACGTTATGACAAAGAAGTAACGAAAGGAGTATAACTCCTTATCGTCGACAATTCGACATTTCTCAAGGTGACGAATTTTGATATACTCCATATCAATACACACAAGATCATGGATTAAGACATGACGAAAGGAGTGTAACTCCTTATCGACTAAGAAGGTGAGAAGCTTCTTCTGGAATAACCGATTCTTCGCTGAGCGAAGGTAAGTGTAATTTATTGCAAAAATTTAGCCGATATATATTTTTTAATCAATTTATTGTTAACTTTTCTATAAAAAAGCATATTTACATGGAAGAATCGATGAGTTGAGCAGGCAACTTAGCAATGCAAATGAAGAATTAAGACGTAAAGATGAAGAATCAGATGATGATCGTTGAGGAAAGTGAACTTGACACAGTAGCGCTAAAAGTGATGAAGAGGGGTCTTACAACAATGACGCGGCCAGGTTCATTTAAAATTTCTTCTGAATTCTAATTAAAATAACTTTAATTCTAACCGAATTTTAATCAAATATAACTGACATCAATTAAATTATCTTAAATTGGCTTTATTTTTTTTATAATTTAGATTGAAATGAGAACGATTTTAAAAACATTGCCAAATCATCTCAAAATGAGATACGATCTTAAGTTCAGCAGTGAAAAAAATACTGAAATATTATGATAAGTAATACCACATCTCGTTAAAGCCTTAAAAGATTCAAAATAACATACAAATCAGAGATTGGCTTAGCTCGCTTTACAGGCATCGATGAGTTTAGTTATTATGTAAACAACGCGATACTTTATTTCATAATAATTAGCGATTACATAAAAATAATTGTACCAGTGAGGTAAATATAATTGAAATTGATTTTTTTTTTGAGAAAAATAAACTTCGATTAACATTTGATATTTTAATATAGAAAAAGGCCAGAAGGATTAAAGGTGACAATTCATTTTTTGATTTAAGTGATGAGAGAGTTTTGAAATATGATAAGAAAGAGTTATTGAGGATCTTGGAGGATAATCGTTATCATTTTCCTGAAGATTTGGTGACTGATTCAGAAGAAATAGAAACACGAACAATTAATGTTTATAACCCAAGCTGGAGATCAGATGAGATTCGATACTTTTTTAGAAATTTATTTATAATTTTTGTTAAAATTTTAACTAATTCTGATATTTAATTTTATTAGTTGAGATCGCTGTTGCGAGAGGTCGACTGTCATGCGTTCTCGCTGCAAATCACGCAATTAATGAGAACTCGACATTATAGTGATGATTTTGCGATACATATTTGATACTATCAAAACGTTTTTGACTGGACATTTGTAAATCAAAATACTCCAGCAAACACTGATTTTTCAGCACCAGCATCCGAAGTTGAAAGTGAAGATGATGATATTGAAGAAGAAGAATAAATTCAGCATATCATAATTTATAACGAATTTTATTTGATTCTTAGTTTATTTTATATATATTTGTATTATTATATTTTATAATTATTTTTTATTATATATTTTATTTTATATTTTAAATTAATAAACTATTTGTTATTTATTCAATTAAATTACATTATTATAAAATAAATAAATCGTCAAAAAATACGAAAATAAATCGTCTAAATATCAAAAATTTTATTTCGCCGATTTTGTGATTACTTATAACCGAAATATTTCTGAATTTTTTATTAACAAGTCGAATTTTGTTTGTTTTGTTAGTTGAACGAATTTAAGCCGATTTTATCAAACATATAGCTGAAATATTACCGAACTTTTTATTAACAAATCAAATTTTATTTGTTTTGTTAGTTGAACGAATTTAAGCCAATTTTATTAAACATATAAAACAACTACCAATCATTAATGTTAAATGTTTTTTGTGTGGCATGGAAATGGGTAACTTCAACTATAACTAAAAATGCCAATTGTTTTGGCAATAATCAGTAGAAATTAGAATATATTTTGGCCAACATTCGGCACTTTTAAAAAGTGATGAAATGAATTATTTCGACTAGTATAAAAAAAACTCTTTCTTCTCGTTGGATTTTTTCCAAGAATTTTTACTTTAAAAAAGTGTCCATTCAATGGCGGCCGCAGCTTAGCCTGTAAACAAAACAAAAAACCCCTCCTTTCAAAAATATTCCTCTCTTTGTTCCTCACACCACTCTTCACATAAAAATTTTCGAAATAGTCTAAACCGTGTTGTTTTTTGTTAAAATATTTTTTCTTCACCTCTTTTCAAAAAATTTTTTCCATTTTTTCTCTTTTTCTTTTTTTGCCTACAAAAAGTGGACATTAAGGAGTATCCCAACTGACGATCATGATCGACATACTTTGGATAAACAAATCTCACGTGATGACACCTTTCCCCTTCCTAAACAATATACTCTCTTTTGATTGGCCTCTGACTTTCTGCAGATCCTCTATCATCAAAGGTCACATGCAAATTTAGCATTATTCTACTTTGGTATTTCTGGACGTCGTCTATTTGGAGTGATGGTAGCTACCATTTAGTCTGGTATTTTTGTTGGTCTTCACGAGTTTGAAATAGAACCACAGTTTTCCTTTGTTATCAAGATCCTTACTCAGTGTAAGTTTGCTTCATCTAGATCCATGCCTCCCTAGTAACCAGGTAAAGGATATAGGTTACTATCTGTAGATATCTTGTAGAATTTTCGTAGTGGATTCTATGTGATATTTTTCTGTACTTATGAATCTAAAAATATGAAGAGCCTCTGTTTGGACCTTTTTTGGACGCATCCTCTTTGGTCAGGTGATCGTTATATCCGGAATTAACTGGACATTTAGATTTTTTATAGAGTCATGTTTAATTGTTTGTAAATTTCTATTTGTACCAATTCCCTACTTCAGGTGTTGTTTTTAGTTTTAGAATTTTTTTTTTGAGGGAAGTTAGGGTTCAACAGACATGTAGAAATTAGATGCTTTTTGACACTTTATTACCACCCCCTTCGGGGGTGGCAGTGATCAGTCGACTCAAATGAGTTTGAAATAGAACTACAGGGGGTAAGTCACGTATTTTGGTATTTTTTTTAGAATCTTTTTATTTTCTTCAATGTACAATACAAATAAAGTACTGCGGCTAGACTGCATCGTTAACAATTAAAAAAAAATTATTTTGACTAGTATGATACATCAAACAAGAGGGAACTGCAAGAATGAGCTCAAAACAGCTGGCAAGAAATAAAATGGAAAAGCAAAAACTTTATTCAGAACTATGTTTTTAAATTATTACAAACCCAATTCAACCTCATCCTCTGACTTTTTTTTTATAACAAAATTCCATAAAAAATACGCTAAAGCTACCTCCAGAACCTTCAGAACCTGAACCTCTAGAACCTCTTCCTATATCCACTCTTCCACAAAATGCAATAGTACAAAAACGTTTGCATGAAAATCTTTAAAAAAATAAAGCTGATTTATATGAATACAACAACCTATTAAGAGCTACCACATCATTGAAACTTCGTTCACAATTCATCTCAAAAATCAAAAAGCTTGAGGAAACAATTGTGTTGGAAGAAAAGAAGCTCAATAAACTAAGGGATAACACAGAAGCTCAACAATGAACTCGAAATAAAAATGAGAAAAATTAGATAAAGAGAATATTATCGAAATGTAGATAATGCACTGGGTCATCAATCATTCTTGTTAAATAATCCTGAACTTTTAAATAAAATGCATAGCAGTGTTAAGTTTGACACTGCAGACCACAAAAAGCGAAAGGAAACAATTAAAGTATGGATCATTAAACATCTTCACGAGGAAATGAAGGAGAATTACAATATTTATATGGTGAAATCAACAATGCAAAACTATTTGCAACCCAAATATTCAATAATAAAAGAGGCTTAAAGACATCACCACCCTACACAAATCTGTTTAGCAGCTGTTGAGAGAAACGAAATAAGTAATCATATAGATGAGCATTACTGTTTGGTTTAAGTCAAAAGTGTAAAATCATTTGTATCAGCTTTTCCTAAGGATATTGTATTAATTTCACAAGATGACAAAGCTAAGGTACTTATTTGCAACCTTTTTTTTTAATATTATATTTCAAATGTTTAATTCTCAAAGTTTTGTAGGTTTCTCTTAGTATAGCTGCAGTCAGAAGAACATTCAAGGCTGTTCAAATAGCAAGTGAACCAGTATCTGTCCCAACCATGATTTTCCTAAAGCTTCAAAGCATAAGCTAATTCCATCCGTCTACCTAATGATTAATCCTTTCAACACACTTCATTACGCTCTGGAAAGATGCGAATTTTTGTCTGTCCAGAGTATTTTTTGGATACAAACTGTGAAATACATATGGTTGACCTTATGTCAATCACAAAGGAAGAGTCTTTTAACGAATTTACACATTATAAAGGGGTTGTGAAACCTTTTTGGTGTTTGTTAACCAATAGTGATCCAGATGAAAATCCACAATTCCTTGCGAATATCTCAAAATATTTATTGCTTTTCAAAAAACTTGACTTGGATTATCTTATTATTCGAACAAATGCACCGGGACAGTCTGCTTATAGCATTACTTTCTGGTAAATTGGCAGGTATCAAATTAAATGCATTCACATATAGGAACTATCTCAGAAATATTAGTGGAAAAGTTGCTGTCGTGAATGAAAATCTTAGACGTCGTAACTTTAAATATGCGGGAAAGCATCTATGTGAACTTTGAGAGCGTGACAATATCAATGGTTATCCAGTTATTACCACATATATTGAGAAGTATGATCAATTGGATTTTTTAAATATAAACGAAGAATCATAGGATTAGATTGATAGGTATAGCCAAATTTGCAAGTATTCTCTTGATCTAAGAAAGTGTGAGAATCAAAATTGTTGCAGGCAACCACGCATGTCTGAAATTCATAATCTTTTATCCAAAAATAATGGGTTTTTACTATCCGTCATACAAAGCCTTGATGGTCATTTTTTAAATATAATTCATATTTTTAGAATATTTTAAAAAGAAGTTACCAGGCTATGATGAACATTGTTCTAGCATAACTCCGGATTTATATTACAATCTCATATGTTAAAAATGCTTTAAATATTTTCTATCAAAAGTGTTTTTACAACATCATATTAAAACAACTCATCTGAAAAAAAAAAAGTGAGAATTAATGATAAAAAATCTGAAAATTTACCACAAAATGATGAACTCAGTAGTCATATGAAGGATATATATACAAAGGAAAATGGAAACAATAATTCACAGAATCAACAAAAAAAGATAAAAAAAAGTAAAAGCAAAGTAAAGGGTTTGCAATAACAAAACTCAATAGTAAAACCATAGGAGCAAAATTATCTTACATTTAATATCAATAATTTTTAGTTTTAATTTTTTTTTTTTTTTAATAATAAAGAACAATACAACAACTTTAAATTTTAATTAATTGTTCTATTTTTTACTATTCTATTTTTTTTTTCTTACAGAATTTAAAAGTTTATTTTATTAAATTTTCACACTAAATTTAAACTAAGATTTTTACTATGCTATTTTTTTTTCTTACCAAAAAATTACAAAATTTTAATATAAAGTTTATCTTTTTTATTAAAATTCATTTTGTAAATTTTTGTTATATTAAAAAAATTTTTTATAAATAAATGTATTATAAAAAAAATTTATTAATGCATGTTTTATATTTTAATTTATTAAATATAGTATAAATTTAAATTTAATAAATTTAACATACAGTTGAATTTTACTATAATGAATCTTTATCTTTAGAGATTACAATTTATTATAATAAGAAAATTTAGTAATATCTTACTGAATTTTAACAATTTATTCATTATATAGTGATATTTAAGGTAAGGTTACTGGATGAAATCCAAATTTAGACAGACGTCTAAATAATAAAATTAAGACTTGGTTAAATTATATTAAAATTTTATTAAAAAATCTGCAAAATTCAGAAAAAGGTAAAAACTATATCAAAGCTTATAAAAATGGCGAAACTATATTAAACACTTAGTAAAAATTTAGTGAAATTAAAGATTTAGACGTTTAGCCAAATCCAAAATGAGTTTAGACAAGCAATCTTAATGATACTAATATCCAAATTTAATATATAATTATAAGTTTAAATAATATAAAATAAATAAATTTAAATAATAGCTAATATATAATTTTTACAATTTTAAAATTTATGCAATATTTCACAGTTTTGCAATAAAAATTTTTAGTAATTTCAAACTTGAATTATAAAATTGAATAAATTAAATCAATGAATTAATCATTACTAATTTAACACTGATAAATTTTAAGTTTAATTAATACTAATTAATTCTTATATTAATTCTTATTAAATAATTATAATTTGATTTACTATATAGGTAAATCCACAGCTAAAATTTTAGCTGAATTAATAATTCAGTTTAAAATTTATTTACTTAATATCTTTATATTTTTTATTATATATTTGTAAATATTTAAATTATTAATTTATATTTTATTAAAATTTTACATATTTGTAAATATTTAAATTATTAATTTATATTTTATTAAAATTTTACAATATAACATTTTTTAATAATAATACAAAAAAAAAAATTGTTATATCTCTTAAATTTAATATAAAAATTCATTATATAAAAAATTTTTTAACAAAAATATCATTTATTATATTTGGTATAGGATCTTCAATTTATTATAAATTTTATTATAAAAATTTGTTATATTCAATTAATTTATTTAATAAAATTTTGGATTACTTATATAATTTACAATAATAAAAAGATTTTTCTGTATTTATAAATCTGTATTATATTGAAGATTTATTATATTAGACCTATTTTATTTCAATTGATGCTATAAATTTTATGTAATATAATTAGCTAAAATTTATACTTAAATTCACATCACATTCTTATAAATAATTTATATAAAAAAAGTATATAGAAATAATATGTTTAAAAATGTATAACATATATAGAAAAACAGTATAAATAAATTCATAAATATTTCTATATACTAGTAATAAAGTATAATATTTTTAAAAGTAAAAATTTATATTTTGTTAAATAAAACTAAATAAATTTATGCAAATTATGTAATTTTTTTGTAAATTCTATATATTCATTCTTATTAAATATAAACTTGCAAAAATTTATTATATTTAAAAGAATTTTGATAAAATTTATTAAATTTTAATAACAAATTTATAATAATTAAATAAAATATTAAATATTTAGTTATTTAAAACTAATTAAATAGATAGTCAATTGGGTTAAGGTTTAACTAATATTAACTATAAATTTCTATTTCTAATAATAATAATTCAATTAAAATATTTTAATAAAATTAAAACAAAAAAATTTGGTTTAAAAATAGGTTTTAGATTAATTTTATAGAAACTTTATTAAGCTTATTCATAAGTTTACAAGCTTGTATAATTGATTAAAATTTTAGATATCAAACAAAAAAATTTCTGAAAAAACAAATTTCAGACAGATTAAATTTTCATGCGGATTAAATTCTGTTAGATCAAAAGAAAAATTTTAATTTTATATGTTTACTAAGTTTTTTTACAAATTTAAATATTGCATTTTATTTTTTTATTAAATTGCAATAGATCTTAATCTTAATCAAAAAACTCAGATTCTCATTTTTTTTAGCAATCTTTAAATTGAATAAATGGTTTGATCGACAAATTTCTGCTATTTTATCTAAAATGAATAAAAAAGCTTGTTTGGGAATTTCGCAAAATTTTGCCGTGAATCCTAATGAAAAGCAAATAGATACTTTCTTTTTTGATGGTTCAAAATTCATCGCACAGAAGAAAATTATCGAGATTACCTAAAAGACAGAAAACATCATGTGTTTTATTTACGATTTTCAACTTACTTATTTCCTAGACGAATTTCACATTAGATCGCAAAAACAAAGTCACATAAGAATAAAATTCTGGTGAATAAATTTTTCTTTATCTAAAGTGAATAATACACTTCACGCAAAATAAAACAATCTGAAATCCACTTTGATATCAAGCGAATTTATTTCCGAGATTTCCTTTTCAGACGGAAAAAGAAAAAAGAATAAGCATTATCATAATTCGACTTCTGCAATTTATGCTGAAACAGCGCCGAAGAAAACCTCACTCGAATAGAAAACAGATACTAAATTGATAAGGAAGATTTAACGCGTCAGATTTATTTTTTCTTTTGATTTTAATTCAAGAACAAAAATAAATTTTTGTAATATTTGGGGTAACACAACATAAATTTACTTACTTTCATTCTTTATTAATAATATAAGAAGAACCGATATAGAAGAAAAAGATCCGATGATAATTGAACTCATCGAGAGGAGCTTGTAGAGTTGCGTTAATCACTATTCAGCAAATTATATTGATTATAATTTGAAAAATAGTTCGTCTTAATCAACCTAGCTGACCTCAAGAATTATGATAATATTTTTACGATCTTCCGGCTAAGCTCATTCCAATGAACACGTGCGAGAGAGTCAAGGACAAGAAAGACTGTCCAAGCCGATAAATATAAAGCACTTTCCTCGACAAAATGGTACGTACGATTTATAGTATATTAAGTATAAAGGAAGTGATGAAAGACGAGATAGATATAAAAAAAAGAAGTCCTTCTTGCTTAGTAAGTTGTTACATCTACTTCTTATACTCATAAAAATTCTAAAAATTCATATATTGTATATGAAGGAACAATCAAAAGTTTGACAACAAAGAACCGGCTAATAAGATGGACTTTTTACCTTATAAATGGACGGTTTGCTATTAAAACCACGTTACGATCATAAGATTACTATGTCTCGTGACTCGATTTTAATAGCAAAACGACCCAAATGTTCAAAAATCCACGTTAACCATTAGCCAAGAAATTTATGAGGTATTTTGTATTTATTTATTAAATGAAGGGCATTATTAGTAAATATCAATTAAACTTACATCTCTCTTCCTATTTTATGGTAGATTCAAATTTCTTAATAACACCTAATTTGATGTATTTTTCAATCACTTCCATGTTTCCTTCTTTAAACACCAAACTCTTTGTCTTGTATCCATTAATAATAATGAACGAAAGTGATTTTTGCGGAATACGATTTGCCAAACTCGTAAAGAACGAATCTAATTCTTTTGGAAATAATTCCGAATGTGCACCATAACCATAATATAATTTTAATTCATGAAAACCTTTTGGTGAATATTTTGCGACCATCTCCAATAATTCTCTCTCATTAAAGCAGTCATCATAACATTCAACTCTGATACTTTCCAGCTGTTTACAATGATTCAAAATTACTTTTAATGGACCTAATTCATTATCCGAAAAGATAGTACCTAGCGATTTCAGATTGGGGCACGATTTAACTATAGCTAAATTCAAAGAATGATTGACATTACAGTACTTTAGCTCAAGCCTTTCTAAGTTTACACCATTGTTCTCCAAGAATTTAGTCAAATATTCGTGCTTTGGAAGTCCGTATTTAAATTTTAAAATATGTAATTTCGGAAAGATGACGCCACGCAACTTTTCAAAACCTAAATAATTACAATCATCAAAGGCTAGAATAAGTTCTTGTAAATTTGAGAAATGAGCAATAAATGATAATGGTATGCCACATTCATCTCCGTAAAGAGACAGCTTGATTAAAGTATTAGGAAGGCCTGCTATTGATGGAATTATAATCATATCCGTCAAATCCTCACAACGAGATTTGATTATGCTTAAATACTTTAAATTTCGCTGAACGGAAATCAAATCTGTTACACCATTTGAGATAAATTTTAAAAGTCCTATATTTAGAGATTGTATATTATGACAGATTTTGGATAACTGGTGAAAAAATACGGAATGGATATTTGAATTGCAATTTAATTCCGCAAGGTTCTTCAAACAATCTATTGCCCCAGGGTAGGAGGTAAATGGAATATATTTGATGTAGCTTGCACTGGAGTAAAAGTTTAGTTTCTTCAAGGATATTTTGTTCATAAACATTTTAAATATTTCTTGTGCGACAACTACCCGTGTAAGAGCAGGTGGATCGTCTTCAAATACATTATTGATTTCTTCACCAATTTTATTTATTTGAAGAACCTTGATAAAGGTAATGTAATTAAATAGTGGAGGTTTTGAGGTAGGGGGTGAAATGATGATTTCATTTTTGAGCAAGATTTCTTTTGACTCGATAGGAAGGCAGGCAATTAAAGTCCTACAATTCCAAATGCTTTTCCATAAGATTTCGACAGAGACTTCACACCAAAGACGATTCACTAATAAACATGAGTATAAGGTAACCTTATCTTCAAAATCTTCCAAATATTCAAAAATTTCATTCAAGCAGTCAGCGGGAAGTTGACAAGGCATTTTGATTATTAATTAGACCAGATTATTTAATGTGTAAATTTTTTTTTTTTTTAAAGAATAAAAATGTTCAATGCGTTCTGAAAGGCATGAAGACTGAAAGAAGTTATGCAAATTAAAACAAATAGAGCGATCATCGTATATTTTAGGAAGTTCACTATCAAAAAAGCTGTAGTGGGTGACGCAAGAAGAACATTCCACGAGTCAACATATCCCCCGCCTGTTGTGGCGCCGAATTTTGTGAAAATTGGAACGAACCGTCAAGTATTTATTATGTTGACGATCGTCAGATACTTATCAATTATAACGAGGTACAAATTTTAAATATAAATTATTTTTAATTTTTAATAATCAATTCAGGATGCAGGCTGATTGTTGTGATACATTGAAACACGTTCTAATCGTGTCGTTCAAACGAAAGACAAGGCATGACAAGATTGCAATGGTCTAAATTTGTGTGATAGATAGACATTTGGTTAGTTACACGTTATGATTATAATTCCTTTATTTGATTCATTTTGAATTAAATTCAAGAGATACAGGTTTTTAAGGCAATTTCTAAGGCATTTATTTAGAAGATTCAATTATAGAACATTTTCTCTCAAGGATATTTATTTAATTTTTAAGTTCCAAGTAACCTGAAATTTTCTGGATCTAATAATTAGCAAATCAAGCTCAAACTAGTTTCTTACATCTTTGTTTTTATTATAATATATATATTGATATTTGAACCTAAAGATTTGTAATCGTGATGCCAATTTTTATTATTATTTATTTGCTGCGCCAAACACTTGCAAACAAATCATCAGGTGATTGATTTTCAAATAAAAAAAAAGATAAACGAAAGAAGTCGTTAAAAGCCTTTTAGGCTGATAGTGGCTTTGATAATCAAAGTTATGGCTTTAACATTAAGTTCATCCATTTTAAATCAAGGTGAGTGGTTTGGGCGTTTGTTAGGTTTAAAGTTACGGTTCGCATCATCCTAAATTGGCATTGATTGACTACACATTTTACTTTGTACAACCAAAAAATAAATTAAGTTCTGAGAAACATGATGGACAAAGTAAATTTATAAACTTTCAAATTGTGAACTTTGAGCAAAGTGCCACTAAAGATGAAAATATTTAATAATGTCGTTAATCGCATCGCAGGATTCGATGACACACCGAAAGATCATACAGATTTAATGAAATGAAATGCATAATATACTGTATATGCATTTCCGATATCAATGCGATAAGGTTCATCAAATACTTTAACATGAAGACCTAGTCCTCGCAATGTTTTTATAAAGAAAATTGTTTGATGCAAATTGATGCAGGATTATATTGGATGAAGAAAGCATCACATTTTCATACAATTTCTATTAAATCTATTTCTTGAAAAGAATTAAATCATACTGTTCGATTTTCTAGTTTTCATGATATTTTTATGAGCAATGGGCATTTTTATCGAGGAAGAAAAACGATGGATCAAATCTCGAATAAAATATTTTTTTTTAGGCCAGGCTCGATAAATGGATTAATCGGGCTGAATATTTCAAAGAGGACGTTATTATTTTTTTAATAATATAAATTTTCAAAATCTTGCCTTTGTACACGAAAATTTTACGGTTGATATCCTCATTCAATAAGAAGAAGCCTACAATTCCCAGGTAATGACTTAACTAAGTATCATCTTTTCGAGTTTAAATAAAATGAACAATATGATGGTTCGGATACTGTCCAGAACCATAGATGTGAATGATTAGCGAATGCATGCAAGTGAGAATAAGAACCATCCATTTCATGTCCAAACCTGGCCAAATATCCAATTACCATTAAAAATTTTATAGGAATTTGCCATTACCCTTTTAGATAAACAACTCGACCAGAGTTAGGATGATAATTGAAAAATGAATGAAAATAAATCATGTCACATCCTTCACCACATTATAAAATTATCCAATATTAATAACCAATTATTATTCAGATTAGTCATATACGTATATAGACATTCAAACTAAAAATTCATTGATTCAATAAAAAAAGTAAACTTTTTTTTTTCTTATTTAGACAAGTTTAAACCTATTGGAAATATTTTGGTAGAATGAAGAATTTTCAACCTTAAACATTTTACCATTAACTCGAAATTTTTATTTTAACGATGTTACAATCTGTTTCCTTGTAAATAACTTTTAAAATACAAATTTCGATTAGTTAATGCATTTCTTCTTAATAATGATAAACCAATTCATGCAGAAATTCAATATAGTTTATCATCTCAATCTCTTGATTGTATTTCGGCATCTTTAAATAAAGTCCGCTTGCATTACTGTGATCAGCTGTTTCTACAGTATTTCTATTTTATATTTACTTCTAAAATTGGGAACGAATAAAACCGGCGTATTAGCATAAAAGTACAATAATGATTAAAAATTATTTTTTCACATGGATTGAGAACTATTGTTTGACGCCACTGTTTGTTTTATTCTTGTTCCCCTTTGAAAATTTCATTAAAATAAAGGAAATAAAAAAGTTTTTTTTTTTTTATAACAGGTTATCGTATCGTATTTCCTTCTGCAACGCAATTTCATATCTACTATAATATTATCATTTTCTATTCAACGGATCCACGTTACAATGAACTCGCTCGAATTATTTTTTAGCAGATTATATCAATACGATATGTTAAAGCGAGAGAATGAAAGAACCGGCAATACTGAAGAAGTTGAACCTCCGAATTTCGATATGAGCTTCGATTTTGAAGATGCTCCTCCGGCAACCGTCATTGAGTTTGATGATAAAAAGAATGATAACGAAAAGATGAAGGAACTTCAAAATAGATCACCCGTTCGCAAAGTGAAATCTTCAAAACCAGTTAAAAAGGTTCCAACTAAAAATCAGGTCAAACCAAAGTTGTCGAAAGGTAATCAAAGGGTTAAGAATAATTTACGTATCGATATGGTGGGTTATGACCAAAAACAAAATTACTCCATTCGTTCGCATTCTAATAAGCGGAGAAAAGCAAGCGAATAAAATTTTTTTTTTGTCATGTCTCATCTTTAGGGGAGACGGTAGTTATTACTTGAATTTATGATCTAATAGATTAGTATGAACATACATTCTTTTCCTCCTTTTAAATTCCTCTTTTTTTAAGACTCATAAATACACATAGATATAAGTTACTTTTATTTTTTAAGATTTTAAGGATTTTTTTTTTGATATGGTAATAATAATGATAATAATATTATTAATCCAACATCTACTTATTTGATCTATAAATTATATATTACAAATTATATCTATTAGAAATATGTGGAATGATACTAGTTTTGATATTAAATTTGAACACGATGATTTCAAATCAAAAAAAAAAAGATATTCGCAGTAAATACTAATAAATTCATTTTCATTTTTTTTTTTACAATAGTATAGTACTAAAACAACTATTATGAGGTCTTACGTAATGATTTTTTAACTCTGTACGACAATTAATCTTTTATCCTTTGCTATACAATTTAACGTACAAAATGTCTACTGTCGGTACGCCTATACACTTTGATGCTTTGAGTATGAAAGTAGCTGCCTCCGTTACGATTGGATATAATAACTCTATTTACGACCTAAAGCAAGATATCTTAGAGGAAATTTGTATTCCTGGCAATGTAAAAGTCAGTTGTGCTTTTGGAGAGTACTTCTCTTATACTTGCTTACATAACGTCCAAATCCCATTCCATAAACCAAAGCTTTGTTTAATTATCAGAATTTAATAATATTTTCTACTTGGCCTCGTCTTGAGATGATTCAAGTGATTAATATTTTATTTCCGTAAGTAAGATATGCTTAATTATAAATTGATGGAATTGGAATTTGTGATATAGGATATGGATATTGGATTTAAATATAGAAGAGATATAAGCAACAATTTTAATTTTCTTAATGACTAATAATGATACAAATGTGTTAACAAACACAACACAAAAAAAATTAGGGAACCCTTTTATGACGTCCAGGGAAACAGTATTCGAGTTTTCGTTAAAGTTCCCATCGTAGCAATTGACTGTCTTTGTTTATATTTACTAATACTTTCTGAATAATTATACCTTCTTTTTTTACATCCTATAGTAAAACAAATTATCGTAGAGCAACCCGTTGTCGGTATATTGCTTTTTTGGACAATTATCCTACATATATGCAGATGATTTAAAAAGTATATCGAATAATTTTGAAAACAAACTCGATCTCATAAGAACGGATTTGGGAGACTTATATGAATTATTGGCACGTTTTGAAGTATCAAAGCACAAGGTTCAAATTATACTTCAAAATTTGAAATATTTGACCTTAAAGGATTAGTAAGGCTTGCGATACCGTGAAAATTGCTTCCATCTGTAAATGCACTGTATAATCTCATGCATTTGTTCTATCACATAGTGTTCAGAAGTGCTGGCAAATGACCTTAAAAAAAACCTTCAAGGAACTCAAATGACTTCATTTTTATTATAAATTTCAAGTCAAAATGACCTAGCTCATTTTAGAAAAAAAAAATAAAATGACCTTATAATTTGCACTTCTTAATAAAAACAAAAATGCGAGAAAAAGCTTTAAGCTTGATTCGATCACACAACTTGATGATATGGGTTCGTTTCCAGTAAAATCAAGTTATGAGGCATAGTAAATCATATGATCCGTAATGTGATTTTACTGGAAACGCTCCCATATGATAAAAATACAACAAATTTTGCAGAAAAAGCGGAATGTGCACTTTAAAAATAGACTTCTTTTGAAAGTAAGTTTTATTGGTAACTAAGTAGGATAATCAAACAAAATTTAACTTGTAACTTAATCTAGCTGACACTTCGACATCACAAATCAATCCACATTGGGAATAATGCTCATGACAGCATATGGGAGATAAGCTATTAAAACTCATGTTCAGATTATATGATTTACTATGTCTCATAACCTAATGACTCATAACCTAATTTTAAAGCATACGATCCTTATGTTTTTGACGTGAAAACAGCAATCGAAAATAATCAGGTATTTATAATTGATTTTAAGAATGTAATTGAAATGAGGTATAATATGCTCAAAGAATTCATTATATAAATTTTAGGCTCTTTTTAATACAGTTCTAGATGTTGATTTTCGCGGAAAAACATCAGGCCACAACATTATAGACATCACATTTGTGTTAGGGGAGATTAATTTATCAAGTGGGAATAAAGCAATAAAAATAACTGTTGACAATTATTATTAGGGTTGGCAACTATCAGCTTTGTAATTGTAGCAATAAACGTTAAGGAAAAGGATTACAAATGAATTTGATTGGAAAATATTTGTTCCAAAACCACTTAAATTAGAATCAAACATAAATGGAAATAAGATATTACATTCCCTAGTTCTGCTAACTATGTGGATATAGTTATAGAAAGGTAATGCAATTAAAGGATGGCTAAAAAAGGTTCTCAAATAGAAATATTAGATTATTTATTACTATGCTCTAAATTTTAGTAATACAAATTATACATTGTATGCGTGGAAATTTCACTCCTATCCCTTACATGATAACAATTTACTTTTATTCTTGTTAATCAAATCTAAACCTTCTATTTCTTTTGTCAAAGACTTGTTTAACATTATTAGCTGCAAGATTAACATTATTAAAAGATCGCCAAAAATTTATCTTCAAATTTATAGTTGACTTATTTGACAAATATAACAAATTGATCATATTTGACTAATGATTCATATTTAACATATTTATTATATTTGTTATATTTGTTAACTTTATTAAATTTGTTATATTCAATAGATTTTTTTTATTTATTATATTTATCATATTAGTCATATTTATTATATTAGATATATTTATCATATTATATTACTATTAGTTTATTATATATGTATTTTCTCTTGAGTTAAAGAATAACTTGAGATAGGGTTTTATGAATAAACCAAGAGTTTAATAAAAATATTTATTATTCATTTATTATTACGTTTTGCCATGTCTTCATATAGACATGATTGTAATAAAATTATTGTGATTAATTTGAAAGACTGAATTGATTTATTTAAGGATTATTTCTAGTACTCTGATTAATAATATTATCCATGATGCAAGACAGACAACTTCTGTAAAGTTTCTGATCTTAAAGAATCCACATTTTATAGGTATTTCAGAAAGCTTAAATTCTTGAACTGGTAATATACATCTATATTTTATTACAATTTCTTTACAAAATAATAGAAAAATTATGACTGATGAACTAAAATGTATAGCATAGTGTAGAGTATCACATCAAATTTTAAATGGAAGACACAAAAAAAGAAAGTTTATGTTTAACATTGATTCCTTTATTAAATTTTAGTTTGTTATTAACATTAGAATTATTGATATTTTGGAATTGCTATAGTCTTAATTTTTTAACATTAATAAAAAACTATCTTATTTATAATAATTCTGTGCTACTATTTCTAATAATACGAACTAACTAATTTTAAATAAAAATAATAAATATAAGAAGTACAATAAATATATTATTATAACAAATATAATGAATAATAAAGATAATTCATATAACAAAAATAACAAATATAATAAAAATAATAATTATAATGATAATTATTGAAATAATAGAAATAAATGTGATAATAGTAATCAGCCTTATCAGTCTTATCAGATGGATCTGATAAATCCTAAAAATCCTAAGAATTCTATGAATTCTAAGAATCAGATAAATCAGAAATTATGCTAAACCTCTAATTTCATGATCAATATAAAATTAATTCTAGTAACTTCTATAGATAGTTTAATAATTCTTTATAAATCAACTTTCTAATAATGAATTTTTAGCTGGTAACAACATTGTTAATGATAGTTTAGTTATAACACATTAGTACTATACCTATTATAATTAGTGAATAATGATTCTGATGATCACAGATTTTAACTTTATCTAATTTTTATCATTTTTATTATTTCTCTAATTTCTCACATTTTTATATTTTAGTAATACTTAATTTCTTACATTTTTCTAATATTTTAATTTCTTATATTTCTTATATTTATTACATTTCTTATATATCTTTAATATCTATTTACTATTGATGTATTTTATATAAATATCTTGTATTTCTGCCTTGATAAAAATGCAGAGTCGTTACCATTCTCTAATAAATCAATAAGATTTATCTCTAAAACTTTATCCTTGCTCATTAATAATTTATTCTTCTTTAAATTTATATTAATAAAGGTGATCTGACCCTTCAATTTAATTATTCGTATTTATTTCTTCTATAGTTTAGACATATTTAAACTTTTTACTAGCAAATAATTTCTGTTAACTTAATGATAAATAGTTTAAGCTTAATAATACTTTAATACAATAGCTATTATTAATTTATGAATTTCAAATCTTTTTTTATTAAAGGATATATTAAATAATTGCTATTTTTTTTTTTTAATTAATAAATTTTTCTTTTAATTCTAGCTTAAACTATATAAATATGAATCATAATATTCAATGATACTAACACTATTATTAGCCATCAAAATCATGATGATTATCTGCAAATCTGCTGTTAAATATATATTGCTTTTTGTAAAAATGAATTACTAGTTTAAGTCTAGATTTGTTAATTTTACTAGAAATTATAACTTTATTATGATAATAAAAGAAAGGAGTTAATTTTATAATTGATTAAAAATTAACATTTTTTATTGTATAAATTAGTAGTAATTTCTTAGGAGTTATATAGGATAATGGTTTTTTATATATGGAATATATAGTTTTCTAAATTATATATAGAAAAATCATATATAAATAAATTCATACGAATTTTTCATATCACATCATTCTATTAATAAATATTTGAGTTATGAATATAATAAATCACATGATCATAACATGATTTTAATAGCATATTTTACTTGTTAAAATGTAAATTATTCATTATAATAATAAAATTGGAATTTATAAAATCTTAATATTTTATTAAACTTTGTTTATTATTGAATTTTAACAAAGAAAATCAAAATAAGTAACTTTGTTTACATTTATATAAATAAAGTTTCGTTCAACTAAAAAAAAGTAGAATCAAATAAAATTTATTTTGATTAATTAATTTTATGTTTTAACAGATAGCTAATTTTAATAGCTTTATATCTTAATGAAATTAAATTTTTCATAAAATTAATATAGTATAAATACACATATTATCACATTAATTTAAATAACTTTTGGCTGTCTATAACTATATTAATGATATTGTATTCAAATAATTTTGAATTCAGACTAAAATTGAATAATATGTCATTTCAAGTAAAAAAATTAGATTATAGAACATATTAATAGGTTGGTTCATATAAATTCATTTTTATTTTCTATCAGAACAAAAAGCCATCTAATAAGTAACTTACATAAATAGATTCTACGTCATATTTTTGAAGTATTATTATAAGATTGAAATAATTTATATAAAATAAACATTACATATTATTTGAATTTCCTGAGAATTATTTATATTATTTTGTGAAAATAGTATTCCTTAAATTACAAGAAATTTTTTATAATATGAATTACTAATATAAAGCATATATGAAAACCTGCTAACTCTGACATTAATAATAATATCTAATTTCATTATTTATTACTTAGGCCATTCCAACTCAATTCTATGTTTAACATAAACCCCTCCCCTTTTTTTTTGCAAAGTCATTAATATATATTATGCAATATATATCAACCAATAAAATTGTAGTATTTTAGTCATATGAGCATAAATTCAAAATTTAAGCACTCCCATAAAGCATTTACAATCTATCCATAAAAGAAAAGGATTTGCAATTTTTGTTTGTATATTTGCGCGTAAAACAGAGGTATTTTTATCTAGCAATTTATGGTAAAGGCGTTTTTAACTTCAACATGCTATATCTTTTAGTTCAAGTTAATGAGAATGTCAAATGCATAATTCCTGAACATATAATTAGCATAGAACCCACAAATAAAAAGTTTTGTGACCTTTTTAATGTAATTACGTTAGAACAATATGATAATCAAAAAGTAAAAGTTTTTATTAGACGAGAAAAGTCTGAAGGTTGGAAAGAAGTTGATAATAGGCTAGAAGGCGACTTAAAAATGTTGGAAATTTTGGGTTTTTTGCAAGTTAAATTTTGTTTTGTTCTCGATATAAACTCAGATACACCAGTTTTAACTCAAGAAAAA